AGCAATCTTTCTCACTGCAGATATCCTCGAAGACTATAAAAACTGTAATTTGCTCCAATATTTGTTTGAATTACTGGCAGTTAATTGGTTTTTCAATAAGCTGTCTAGCTTTTTGGGGGGAATCCAGACTCTCAAACATTGGATATGATCCAATTTTATGCTATCCAATTTAGCTCCTATAACTATAATGGCTGATGACAGAATATGCTCAGACACAGAAATTCTGATTTAGAGTACTTAATTTGGGAGCGGACTGCTTTGTTGTATTCAGCCCTCATTTGCTGTTTGTCTGGGATGAATGCTAGGAGATCACAAATGATCAAAGCCCTATGTAAAACACATTCTAAAATCCTGCTCAGTTCCTTTTTATGCCATTTCCGGGATTCTCAAAGTCAGAAAGACCAAGCTGGGCAGAGGAATTCTGGGAGATAGTTTTTCCAAGTTCTAATTAGGGGTCAGCATAAGGCCTTGAGTTCACTAACTCCAGGCCAGGTCAGACCAGCTGCCATCTTGCAAGCAGTGAATAAGATCTTGCAGGAAGCACTTTGAGTGCTTTGGAGTAAGGAGCAAGGACAGATCTCTGGAGTGTAGGACACACACTCAATATCATTAAAATTTAACATCATGACTGACTGAACAAAACTTTGCTGAAACTTTACATCTCAAGGGCTCTCCAGCTAAAGTTCAGAATTGTAATCACAGTTGTCTCTTTCACAGAAGTACAGGACAAAAGCAAAATCCTCTCTTATCAATTTGGCAACGACAACTCCTTAGCTACACTTAAGGGTTCATCTACAAGCTCTTGGCTTTTTTTTTTTTATTTTTTTTTCATTTGAAGAGTGAACTGAAGTGTTCATGCCACTGACAGCCAGCCAAGAAACAGGGGAAATGGTCCCAAAATAAATCTTTCTGGATTACTTGGCTGTAGAAAGCATTAAGACTTTGAATATGTATCGACAGTGCTCTGAAGTTTTAACAAGCAATTGCCTTCCTGAAGAAGAGAATAACTACAGTAAATTTAATGATTAATGGTTTTTCACCTTCAGGTCTTGTTAAAGATTTGAAATGAAGGCCCTTCAGCTCAGGATACATGTAAACATGTATCTTTAAAAAAAAATCTCACAGAAATTCCAGACTGTTGAAACCTATAAACTGTTAGCATTAGCGGCTTCTCAACTATCAACACATTCTTCAGTCATACCAACGTAGAAAGACATAAAAGAGCTGCAAGGGTGAGTAAGGACTACAGGGGTTAACCAGGTGGTTGGATGCCATTTCCTGAAGTACATGCTGTATTAATAATCCATTCAGGAGCACAAACCAGTATACCCCCAAAATCCTACAGAAATGTAAAATCCTGAGTTTGGCCAGACGCCTAGTTTGTCCGGTACTTGACCCCAAAGCCTTTTGAGCTTCTAATACTGAATCCCTGGAAATAGCCCGGATTAGCTAAAGCGCAAACAGCCCTGACACATAGCAGTTAGGTTACATAGGTTCTTCTAATGAGATGGGTTTCCCACCTCCCTCTGTACATCTGAGATACACGACTCATTTTCTTCGTCAAATAATACACATTCTTTCTTTCCCAACTTGCAACAATTCTCTGGCCTCCCGAGGACAGTGTGAGGATTTTGTTTCATTTAAAATGAAAAGATAATGCATCTGCAACAGGAAAATTCTTCATATTCAGGATGGAAAGAATTTGATATTTTAAGCAAATCAAATGCAGAAGAAGCCAAAATGGGCAAATTAAGCCATCAAAGTCCAGGTCTTAGAGTTCATTAACTCTTTCAAGCGTGGAAGTGCAGCCCAAAGGGTACAGAAGAGCCAAGCCAATGCCCCCCAGTCAGTGGTTCTTTCTTCAGACCATCATTTTGCATGTAAGGAAGGTTGAACAGCTGTTTATCTTTTAAAATCAGGCTACAGAGACCTCACTTTATTCCTACCTTGCAGGAATAGGTATAAAACCTATGAAGTTTGCACAAAAACAAAAAAGACTCTTTCTTGGGCCACAGAAATATTTCATTTTTATGAGGCGTAAAACTTTCAAGGATCGTTGCCCATTTGCACCCGACATGTACAATGCAGAAAAAGGTTATCCAACATACAGCTTACCAGCTTTTCAAGCACCATAAAACTCAGTTGTTGGGTTTTTTTGTTTTGTTGTTGTTGTTTTTTGCTACCGTAGACTCAGACGCCTCCTCCCCTGAAAACGTCTGCACTGAAACTTATTTGCAAAGTGGTATTATTACTTTCCGCAGGTGTGCTAGGGCTATTCTGTGGCTGCCGGCTCTCTCCCTCGCTGCTCCTCTCTCCAGTTCTCTTTTTCTTGAGCTGATCTTCTTTTAGCAGCTGCTCCAATTCCAATTCCAGAATAATCTACACCTCTGGATAATTAGCTCCCTGGGTAATGACTGCCTTCAGCAACCACACTACAAGGGTCATCTCTGCAACTCAATTCTGCATTTGAATATCTTCTTTATCCTGGGATCAAGCACAATGAATGCTTCTCTCCCCCCCCCCCCATATACAGGGGTCAGGTTCCTTCTCCTCTTAAAACAAACTCTGGAATTAGGGTATTTTGGCCTGGGTCAATTCCAACCTTTCCTTTTGTCTTTATTCCTGCCCAGGAAACTCACCTCTAACTTTCAGCTCCATTGGGCTGGGCTCTGCCTCTCTCACACAAGACTTTGCCCTTGTGTGCAGCGGTGACTCTGCCCACCCACCCCTGTGCCCTGGGTTCCATCACAAGCAGAACCTAACGCAATTGCTGCGCAGAGGAGGAAGACAACTGCACAGAGAGAAGCAGAGTTGTGCGTGCGCACAGCCACCCACACCCAGCTTAGAGGCATCCTTGCTGCCTAGACATAAGGAAAGATTACAGAGGTGCCTCGCTTAACGACGATAATCCGTTCCAGGAAAATCGCTGTTAAGCGAAAACATTGTAAAGCGAAATTAAAAACCCCATTGCAACGCATTGAAACCCGTCCAATGCGTTCCAATGGGGTAAAAACTCACAGTCCAGCGAAGATCCTCCATATGGTGGCCATTTTCGCTGCCTGTATAGCGAGGGGTCCGTCCCTGAGCACAGCGGGGAGCCATTTTAAGCACCCAGCGGCCATTTTGAAAACCCAACGATCAGCTGTTTTTGATCATCTTAAAGCGAAAGTCGGTTCCCGAAGCAGGGAACCGATCATCGCTAAGCGAAATTCCTCTTTTTAGACCATTGTTTTGCGATCACAAAAAGATCGTTGTAAAGCGGATTCGTTGTAATGCAGGGCATTACGACGAATAGTTAAGCGAGGCACCACTGTATATCTAAGCATGATGGCCTGAACAGCTTGCCAAATATGGTCAGCTTAGTATATTTGGCCATAATAATAATATCATATCATATCATATCATGTCATATTATATCATATCATATCATATCATATCATATCATATCATATCATATGTAGTAGTTGTTGCTGTTAAGCTTGTTCTTTACAGACTAATGCACATCAAAGGTTAAAACAACCACTTAAGCCTTAATTTAGAATCAATTCTGTTTCGCATTTATTTACCTCGCCACGACAAAGGAGAGGCCTTATTCTATCACAGTTACATTGTGAGATTCATTGTTACTTTATGATACACCAGTTCCTGTTTTTATGAAAGCTTTTAAAAACAACAAACCATGGCTCATTTGCGAGACATGTTGCAGAGTCAGGGCCAGCCCCGATGTTATGTACAGGGAGGGACAGAGGCACAGCCGCCTTGCCTTGTAGGAGCCTGGGACCAACACCCCAGTTCCCTCCCCACAAGTCCCCTCCCCTGCAAGCTTTGCTGCGTGACAAGGCTATACAGCTCGTTGAGGATTTCAAGTCTGCCCGTGTGCAAGGCCCCCACTATTCCTTGACTGTCCCCCAGCAATACATATGGAAATGTCTCAACGCAAGCGACTTCTGATTTCCTGAACCACTTTTAACGCCCTGCTGCTTCATTTTTTTTTATTATCCCAATCAAATCCGTCATGTGGTCTGAGTAGCCCTCCAAGGATCAAAAACAACAACACCCCTGTTCTTTCAGGCAGTGTGCTACAGCCTGCACAAATTAAAAGAAAAAAAAACCTCTCACAGGGCTTAGTTTTAATATTTCTGTTTTGCATCTTACTGTTGCCACTGCTTTAAAAGAAAATCACAGAGCCTGAATTTGCTTCAGTGTCCCATGCATTTCAGTCCCACAGCTGACTTCCCAGCTTGCCTATTCCAAAGCCTTCACTTCCTGTTCATCTGAAAGAGAGATAAAAGATATACTGCACCTCCCAGTATCTTCACAAATAATTTTGGATTCTCTTGATGCAACCTGGTCACCCTTGTAGTTCTATAATATGAATATCAGCTGTAGAGCAGCATGACTAAACCAGCCTTTCTCAACCTAATACCCCTTAGAAAAGTGGTTGCCAACCTTGGATACTGTAATCCAGGTGTTCTTGCACTAAAACGCCCAGAAGCCTTTGCCGCTAGCTGTGCTGGCCAGGATTTCTGGGAGTTGTAGTTCAAGAATATCGGGGGACTTAGGTTTGAGAATCACTGCTGTTGTAAACGATCAACCTACGATTACGTAATGCTCTGTTTCCAACAGGCTCTTCCTCACTGGTACCTCCCCGATTTAACAGATGTAAACATAAAACTTTTGGGGGGAGGGACTTACTCGATAGCCAATCTTTGGCTCTCTCCCTATTTTGCATCATAATTCCCACCATTCCTTAAAGATGGCCACACTGGCTGGGGCTTCTAGGAGGTGAAGCCCAACAAATGTGTTCACTGTACAAAGGTCCCCATCTAGGGGGACTCATATTACATGATGAACCGGAGTTTACCTAGAACTTGAAGACCCTTTCTCATTTCTACAATCCTCTGACCGAGAAATGGTCCTGGCCCTTTCTAATCTTTGTCTGCTTCACCTCTATGGTATCAGAAGAACCTGCCTTCTGTGACACCAGAAGGATCACATACCTTGCTCTCAGGTGTTGGTCCCGCATCTCAATCAATAAGATGCTGTTCACCAGGCGATCCTATCCCCACCTTTGGTCCATCTCCTGAGTTCATAAAGGGGCAGTATAATGAGATATCCTGGGCAGACAACCTATAACTAACTATAAATAATCAACTAAATAAATGCATACCTTTTAAAAAATTAATACGGAATGCTGGAACACAGGAGAGGGTAATCTTAATCTACCCCTCTACCCCACACCTGAAATTGTCTAGCAAGCAGCACAGACCCCAAGACTGTGCTGCTTCCACCTGCATGAAGCCTACACTTTTGCTTTCCTGCTCTTATATTGTCTGCTTATTACTTGTGAAGGGAAAGTTCTCCCCTAATGGAACTGTATATGCCGTTGAGTGCAAGGCGGTTCTTAAAATAGACTGCGAACTCTGAGTGTATGCAGCCAGCAAGTTTAATACCATTTCCTGTTTGTACTCATCCTTTATAGCTCTAAAAGAGGGTGGGGAGCAGAAAGAAAAGTTGAGAAAAAGAACTGCAAATAAACAGAAGAAAGAAGTATATGTTCCAAAGTTTCTGTCTAGGGAAGGATTCACTGACCTCTTCCCTGGACCCAGGAATTTGTTTGCACATTCAAAGCCCTTACCAGGTTCCAGATTTTCAGAAACAAACAGTCCTCACACCTACAGGGACATATTGGATGACACGTGTTAAATCCATTAAGGATCACATGTTAGTATTTCAGTGAGGTTCAGGATACAAAAGGCTTGTTATCCTTGTTTACAGAAAGCCTCTCTGAGAGTAGCAGTCTTTTTTTAAAATTAGAAAGCATTTTCCTCTTTTTTTAAAAAAGCTTTCAAACATATGTTTAAAAGATGCTGATATACACATAATCAAAGTTATTTATGTAACAGTGTTGGCTTATTCCAATTCAGTGTGCATGAGAAATACAAAGAGCTCCTTAAATGAAGAACCCTTGCTATTATGAGCAGTACCGTTTAATGTTATTTGTACTGTCATTTGTTGCAATCAGCTTGGATTTATGACAAACATGATTTGCCATGGGGGTTGGAACAGGATGGAAGAGTCTCTGCATTGGAAACAAAGATTTTCCCATGCAGGAGGCCCAGTTATTTCTTGGGGAAGGAACCTAAGCCTCCAGTTATTGTTACTTCTTAGACTTGTGCTTCTCGCCCCACTTTTTAAAAGATAGTTTGATTTATCTTACAATTTTGGGTGGACACCTCTTTATGTTACACTTTCTCCCACATCCAAACTTTGCAAATAAAAAAATGAGTAAAAACAAAAAAAATTTGCCCTTCCTTAACAAATAGAAAAACGTGCCAGTCTTGCCTTTTCTCCACATCTCAAACTTAGTACATTCTAACTACCAATAAACTGGAATGAAATTCTCACCTATTCCTGCTTGCAGCATGTATATACACACAAATATACTGTATACATATATTTGAAATTCTTATATACGTATATTCATAACTAATAAGGAAAACAATGCTATGATCAATAAGCAACACAATAAATAAGAATAAACTGCATTAAAAACTTTATTTCAAAAACAGTATGTGAAGAGGATGCTCGGAAGAGGCCACCGAGCCCTATCTCAGGCTCTAACAAGGACAGCAGAGCAAAGAAGCACAAAGGGAAGGGCTTGGGTGTAGAAGATATAAAGGACACCTTGGAAGAGGTGGTGGGGAAGGGGGAATTTGGAGGACAGGTTGAGAGAGAGAGAGAGAGAGAGAAAGAGAGAGAGAGAGAGAGAGAGAGGAACATCTTGGAGTAGGAGGAAGGAGCCTGGGGCAACCCCCCAGAGGAGATACATGATGCGTGTAACACCGAGGAGGAGGAAGAGGAAGAAGATCCTGTATCTGAGGATGAATGAGACTGGAGCACCCTTGGAGAGAGGTCTTGACTCAATTATGGGTACCCAAATAACACTATACGGAACACCAGAACCCAAAACTCCCCACCTTGCCCCTTCTATTGGGAGGAACTACATGAGAGGTTGGGACAAAGCCACCCCGAGGAGCCAGGTCCATGGGAGCCAACCCTGATACAGCTATGATGCTGGTGGAAGAAGCAGCAGAGGGGGCACAAACGTCAGCTATAAGACCAGCAGCCGTTGCAGGCCTTGACTCCTCCTTCTAGCTCTAGGCCAGGGCAGTGACACACACGTGTCTTGCCCTCACTGTGGGGGCTTTCCACCCCTCACTTTGCTGGGCCCTAACTTTTAGGTCTTGGGATGACCAGCCCTAAAGCAAATTGTAAGCAACACCATCCCCATGCATTCAACTAGGGAGTTCGGGAAAGATGGGGCAGACACTGGTTTAGCCAAGTCAACTAGCCTTGGGACTCTGTTGACACAAGAGCAAACTGTTGTTGACCCTTTTGTACCACTTCCAATTAACCCCTTGGATCAGGGCATGAAGGAGGGAGGACCCATCAGCCCGGGGTGTGTGTATGTGCAGCAGGGCTCAAACATTATCATATCGAATGTGTTCTTCCACAGTACAAAACGTATGCTCTCCCACACAGCCTAGAACAGACATCACAGAAACAGCCCACAACAACAATCAAGCTGTTAAATCCTGGCCAAATGCCTGAGAAAATAACTCTGCCTTCGCTTATGGGTCAGATCGAGGCCGCCTTTCTTGGGCAGAGTGTTCCCTAAGGACCCAACTCTTGCAGAGAAGATCTACCAGTGACAGCACCGCCACCCAAAATGGAGCATTCCAAGGACAGGCTATTATAATACATGCACAGGCCCAACATAACACAACGCCAGCCTATATCTGCTGGAGGCCGGAAGGAGAAACGTGTGGGTGTTTGCTAAAAGGAGAGAAAAGGAATGTGGACAGCTGCCCAAGCCCTGCCCCCCTCCCAGGTCCTGTCTTCCTGTTTCTTCCTACAAATTCCTTGTTTAGGTGGGGAGTGTTGGGTTCTGGTGTTCCGTATAGTGTTATAGCTATCATCATCCCATCATAGCTTTAGAACCCAGAGCCTGGGGAAGCTGGAAAACTCTGGGAGTTTCAGTCCTCAAAATAAACTTTTCGAAGCTCCAGCATTGGTTGCTGAGAGCCATACGGAGGGATTTGCCTGCAACCTTAGTCGGGCTAAAGAGGTGAGGGTGAGTGTGTGTAAAACACAGCCTGACGACATGCTCTCAATTACAGGAGCTGGAAAGACATTTATGGTTTCTTTTTGCAAAATTGAAGCCCTGGGCGGAGAAAAGAGAAACAGAGAGGGGAAAGCCTGGAGGGATACAGGCCTTATCCCTTTGCAATACGAAATAAAGAGGGGGGGGGGGAAATGGCTCACTTTTGCTGATACATATTAGATCCAGCCCTCAGTGTTTAGAAAGCCTCACGCAGAGCTGCTAGCACAATCTATTATTTATACCGTTCATTATTAATGAGCCACCGCAAGAGAAAAGCACCGGAACAGCAGGTAAGCATACAAAATATGTTCCATGCACACAAAAGACAGAAGGGTTCTCTTTGCAAAGGGGGCAGGTCACACAAAGCACAGCGGCTTTGCACACCGGCACCATCCCTTTGGAACGCCCATCGCTTCCTCTCGGACACAGGTAAGCTTTCCCGGCACATCACTTCAGGTGAGGGGAAAAAAAGACAGTTCGGAGACAAGCTCAGGAAATGAACTCACTTCAGGGCAAATTCGATTCAGGGTTAAATGAACCTGATACCATCCTTGTGACTTCTGTTTTAAAACGATGCTCATCTAGAGAGACAATCTAGGAAGACCACTGTGCATTCAGAGGGTAACCCTTTCAACTTTTCCTGTAATACCAACAAAAATGACCAGAAATGTTAGTTCACTGCAGACAGGAATGAGAAATGGGTGGTCTTTCCAGTGGATGCTGCACAACGACTCCCACCATCCCTCCCTATTGGTCATTCTACCTTGGGCTCACAGGTATTGCCATCCAGGAACAGCTGGAGGGACACATGTTGTGTACCTGTTGTGGTGATTAGTGGGTCTCACAAGCACAGAAGGGAACTTGGCCTTCCTGAGTCACAAGGGGTGATTTACTTCCTCGCTCTATTTCAGGCCAGCTGACAGAAAATGCAAGGCACACAGACAAACAAGGCACACAGACAAACACACACACACACACATTTTGATACTGTTAACAAATTCCTACAAGGAAGCCTATGGGTCCAGGTGCAGTCTTTAAGTGGATGCTGAGAGACTGAGATATTCAACCATCTTCCCATGGGAGCTAAATGTGAAAAACATGCTTCATCTCACAGAGAAGGAGATAAGGGACATATCATTCCCCTACTTAGCAAAGGAGAAAGTAATGTCAGTAATTCTGGGCAGAAGTGCTAGATTTGAGTCCAGAAAAAAGTGTGACAGAGAGAAGGGACTGAACTGGGAAGGAAAAAAAAAACAAAACACCAGACTGAAGTGTGACAGAGAGAAGGGACTGAACTGGGTAGCAAAAACAAAAAAACAAAACAAAAAACAAAACAAAAACAAAAACAAAAAACCAGGAGTTTCTGTAACTTTCCCTATCTCCCTTGCATTTTGCATTTTGCATTTGCATTTTGCATATTTTGAATATACAGAGTATATTCAATGCAAATACTCAAATCCAAACTTCAAATCCATGAGGATTTGAAGCCGAGAGAGAGATCTTGTTCAAACACGTCCAGCTTGTATGATCCAGTTCTTACGCTTTAGAACAGAGGTCCCCAATCCCCGACTTTCCCTATCTCCCTTGCATTTTGCATTTTGCATTTGCATTTTGCATATTTTGAATATACAGAGTATATTCAATGCAAATACTCAAATCCAAACTTCAAATCCATGAGGATTTGAAGCCGAGAGAGAGATCTTGTTCAAACACGTCCAGCTTGTATGATCCAGTTCTTACGCTTTAGAACAGAGGTCCCCAATCCCCGGTCTGTGACCCGGTAGCGGTCCACAACCTATCCAAGGCTGGGCCATGGACACAGATCTCTTACCCCCCCCCCGTGAGCAACACCCCCCAAGTGTCATTGCATACATGCGCATGAGCACATTCTGCCGCCCCCCGCAAGCACAATGTGCGCATGCAGGCAAGCACCCCCCCACAAGTGTGATGTATGCATGCGTGCAAGTGAGCTCCGCCCCCCTGTGGACACGTCCCCCCCCGCAAGCACAATGTGTGCATGCAGGCAAGCACCCCCCACAAGTGTGATGTGTGCATGCGTGCAAGCGAGCTCCGCCCCCCTGTGGACACACCATGCCCCCAGTTGGGAAAA